CCCTAAGAAGCATAAAACACCAATCAGAAAGAATATATGTACCCCCATGTTTGTAGCAGCACTATATACAATCGCTAAATCTGGAAATAGCCCAAGTGTCCATCAGTAGACGAATGGATCAAAAAGCTGTGGTACATATACACAATGGAGTACTACGCAGCGGTAAGAAAGAAAGATCTTTTATCCTTTGAGACTACATGGAGGGACCTTGAAAGTATCATCCTAAGTGAAACAAGCCAAACAGAGAAAGACAAGTTTCATATGATCTCACTTATTTGTGGAATATAATGAATGTAACAGTCTGAGGAATGGGGTAGTCCCAGAGACGGGAAGCGGGGTACAGACTGACAATCCCCTAAAGAGGATTGTCAGAACTTATATGCATGTATGCATGAACAGTGGACATGGACAACAATCTGGGGAAAGGGCAGGGAGGGAGGGGGAGGGGGGAATCAGTGGGGGGGAAAAGGAGAAACATCTGTAACAAAAATTAATAACAAAATAAAAATAAAAAAACTTAATTAGTATATAATTTAAAAAAATATATTTCCTACTTTTACTTATGTTCTTTACTCAGGAAACTGACTTTGCTCAATTTCTCTGCTCCCAAGCCCAAGATTTCTTTATGTTTTTATTCATCTTCCTTTTTTCTTCCAATCTGAGAATGATTCTCTTCCCCTGAGAAGATGATCCTCTTACTCTTTTTAAAAAAATTATTTTCTTTTCTTTATTGATATTAGAGAGAGGGAGAGAGAGATAGAAACATTGATGAGAGAGAACATCAATTGGCCATTTCCTGCATGCCCCCCACTGGGGATCAGGTCCATAACCTGGGCATGTGCTCTGACTGGGAATCTAACCGGTGACTCCTTGGCGCATGGGTCAATGCTCAACCCCTGCACAACACTGGCCGGGCACTCCTACTCTTACATCCAAATCCTTGACTTCTTCCTTGAAGCTCAAGAGAAAAGTCAATTATTTCTCCCTTTATTGCAAATCTCTCCTCTATTGCTCCTTTCTTCTCCACTTATAGACATATTCTCCTTATCCTAAAAAAATTAAAATTCTTTTAGCTCAGTCCCTTCTTTTGCTTTTCTTTCAATGCCAAGTTCCTCAAAATAGTCTATATTCTGGTGCTAGCTCTTTCTCACTACTGCTCTGTGGCTTGCTTCTACCTGACTGAAATGAAACAACTCTAAAAGGTAACAAATGACAGCCTAATGGCCAAATCCAGAGAATTTTTCTCCATCCTCAGCCTCCTTGACCTTTCTGAAGAACTTACAGTGCTAGGGAGAATAGCATTGTGGTTAAGCAGCCCCAAGAGTTAAACTGTCATAATTAAAAGTTTGTTTCTGTAAATTACAAGCTGTGTATTTAGGTAAGTTTTAAAAATCTCTTTAGCCTGGCCGGTTTGGCTCAGCAATGGAGCATTGGCCTGTGGACCAGAGAGTCCCGGGTTCAGTTCCTGCTAGGGGCACATACCAAAAAATAAATAAATAAACTCTTTGTGCCTACATTTAACCATCTATAAAAAGGAGGTGATAATAATAGTACAAGTTTCATAAGGTTTTTGAGTGGATTAATTTAGCTACTGTAAGACATTGTGCAGTACCTATCTCCCATTCTAGGTGTCAACAAACATTTGCTACCTTCTTTGAAACAATTCTCTCACTTTTTTGGTACACTTCTTCCTAAGCTGACATTTAATCATGTTCTCCTAGTCCCATCCACCTCTATGTATAACTCTTTTATATTTTATTTTATTAATTTTTTTTTTCTTTATTGATTTGAGAGAGAGAGAAAGGGAGAGGGAGAGAGACAGAAACATAAATGAGAGAGAACATCAATTGGCCACCTGCTGCATGCCCCCCACTGGGGATTTGGTCCACAACCTGGGCATGTGCCCTGACTGGGAATCAAACCAGCGACCTCTTGGTGCATGGGTCAATGCTCAACCACTAAGCTACACCAGCAAGGCAACTCTTTCATATTTTAACTAGTTGATACTGGGCATGTCTTTAATCCTGATAACTGGGATGATTGTATTACCTATTCATAGCGTTGTTACAAAGATTGAAATGATGTATGTAAGAAATTGAGCAAAATACATGGCAAGGAGAGAGCATTTGCTTTCCTGATTAGAGACAGAGGAAACATCTCTGGTTCAGCTCCTTTCCTTCATGCCATCTTAAATCTGATTGTTAGTATCTGGTATAAGGTAATCACATTGCAACTAAGAGGGAAAAGGCAAAATAACGGCAGATATCACTATCTGACATCATTGAATAAACTCCAAGAGCTACCTACCTCCAGGCTTCTTGTGTCTGTTTTGGTTTAAGCCACTGTGAACTGGCTGAAACTATCTGATCTTCTATTACCTACAGCAAAAAATATTCCTGATAATATGGTCCCAAGTTATGCTTAACAGTTTTAGCTAACATTTTTTTTTTTTTTTTGCTATGCTTGTAGGCAGTTCATACAATGAACCCACAGTATCCACAATTACCTTAAATTTAACTGTGACTATTTTGAATCCTGCTACAAATAAGCTCTTTATTTAGCTATTTGGGAGCAGTTTTGTTTGGTGCAGTGCCCAAAGGTCTTACACAATCATAGTTCCATTGTCTGTGGTGTATAATAGCAGTATCATCTTATTAAGTAAAAACAATACGTTTGGCCCGGCTCAGTGATTGAGCAGCAATTCCCTGTCAGGGCACATGCCCAGGTTGTAGGCTAGATCCCCAGTGGGGGGCATGCAGGAAGCAGCCAATCAATGTCTCTATCTTTCTTCCTCTCTCTCTGAAATCAATAAAGAAAAAGAAAAAAAAATTTTAATAGGTTTGTCCTATTGTAGAATATGTCAAAATATTTCTCATCTATCCCACAAAAAATGCTAATAGATTGATAACAAGTTTCAGAGATAAAAAACGAAAGTAAATTTTAGTTTCATCACTTCCTAAATAATGTAACTTTTTTGATCCTCAGTTTCCTTTTTTTTTTTTGTAAAAGAATTCAAAAGAAATAGTATTCCCTCAAAGACTTATTATGAAGAGTTAAAGTTAATGCTTTCAAGTGCCTAGCACAGTGCACAGTGTGGGACACAAAGAAGACCATTATGAATGGGAGCTCTTTCATTGCTTTAATTATATAGTAGGTAATGAGTAAATATTATTTTCCTAATCTTTTCCATAGAGCATATAACAATAGTATGCATTTCATTAAGGTAAACTAGAGTTATTTACCCATAGGAAGCTTCTGCATATTAATCTCAACTATTCTCACCATTCCTTTTCTGAGTCCCCATTAACATTTATAGTCACATGTTTTTTTAAAAAATTGTATTGTGCAAGTGATTTCCACTTCAAATTAGACACTTCAACTACACAGTAATTATTCAAACATTTTTTAGAATTCCTCTTTAAGAAAGGGTTTTCAGAACATACACCTCCGGTGCCATAAATATTAATGACTTAGTGATTGCTGATCTTTTAGAGACAATCCCGTGAGAAATACTAGGCCTAATGGTGCCAACGGTTAAAGTTATCTAACATCCTTAGATGCATTTTCTACATGCATTGAAAATATTATGTGTTATTTTGCTTAAGAGTGATAAATCAGCCCGGCCGGCGAAGCTCAGTGGTTGAGCGTCAACCCATGCACCCTGAGGTCAGCAGTTCGATTCCTGGTTGGGGCACATGCCCAGGTTGTGGGCTAGATCCCCAGTGGGGGGCATGCAGGAGGTGGCCGGTAAATGTTCTCTCTCATCATGTTTCTGTCTCTCTCCTCCTCTCCCTTCCTCCTCTCTCTCTGAAAAATCAATAAATGAAAAAAAAATTTTTTTTGAAAAGTGACAAATCATAGTTTTTATTACAAAATGAGTTGTTGCTGTTGTTTGAGAAAACCAAAAGTTGTTTTATGCTGCTGATGATGAATAAGGTGGTTTAAAAATATGTCAGGCGATTTGGGGGTGGGGCAAAAATACAACAATAAAAAAATACAGTAACAGAAGTGAGACTTAAATATTACAAAATAAAAATTTTCTTTTATGACCTACAAACTGGTTTTGAAGGTAATTCTGAAATGTTTTGGGGTAACAGCCTCCAAGGGTGCCAGACACCATTCATATATGTGTAAATTTAATTTAAAAATACTAGGTTCTTTATTCACAAGTGGGGTAAATATGATCGCATTTTATAGGCACGATCTCCCATGCTCAAAACAAGGAAAGCATAAAAGGAAAGAAAGTTCTGGCAGGAAATATCTTTCTTTGGTTCTTGAGCCAGTGTTCCAGCATCACATATCAGTATTTTGCCGACTTTTCTGACAAATGTTTTTTTTTCTTAAATCCTCACCGGAGGATTTAAGATAGAATGGGTGAAGGGAGATATATAGAGAGAGGGAGAGAAACATCCATGTGTCTCTTTCTGGTTGTCTCCCAAACAGGTCTGAAAGCCTGCGCTCTAATCACAGAGCCAAACCGGCCAGGACCTGACAATAAGTATCATTTAAAAGTTTAATAAAACAATACTTTAAAAAATTTATTCTTTATTGATTTTAGAGAGAGAGGAAGGGAGAGGGAGAGGGAGATGGAAACATCAGTGAGAGAGAACATTAATTGACTGCCTCCTGCATGCCCTGCACTGGGGATTTGGCCCACAACCTGGGCATGTGTCCAGACGGAAAATCCAACTGGGGACCTCTTGGCGCATGGGTCAACGCTCAACCACTGATGCAATCTTGATATTTCCTTTCCGGACTTCCAAATTGATTTCACGCCCGGAATATGGGTCGCGTCCCAGAATTTGAAACAAACGTTTTAAAGGTCGCGCAGTGCCAAGCTCCGTAGTTCTGACCAGCCAGCTTCCTGCGACTTTGGTAACCTAGCAACAAAGCTGCAATTGTAGACATTTCCGGAACCTCCAGCGGAAGTTATCCAATCAGCTCAGCAGAGTCGCCGCAAAGGCTGACGGGGCGCTGGAGATGCGCGGGCGCTGGCGTCTGCACCATGGTAATGGAGGGCTGTGGGGCTAGGGTAGCAATGGCGGTTTGGTCCACCTCAAAGATCACGGCTGTGACTGTGTTTCTCCAGTTGGTCCTCCCTCGCGTCTCACAGGCCCAGACCTTCTCCTTCCCTTTCCGGAAGCCCGAGACCTGCGGCCACAACCAGTATTTCGATATCTCCGCTCTCTCCTGTGTCCCCTGTGGAGCCAACCAGAGGCAGGACGCCCAAGGTGAGATGGTTTGGGGTGGGCCAAACAAACACTCCCGCCTTGGTGCAGTGCCCAGTCCCCGGCGTCTCTGCAACACCTTTCCGTCTGCGGGAAGAATGGTTCAGGATAGTTAACCACCAACGCCCGAGAGGATTTCCTCGGAGGATTGCAGTTTGAGGAAACTGGAGTCCCCTACCCCGCGGGGCATCGCCAGTCGTTTCTCGGCGCCAGTCCCCCATTCCCCAGCCTAAGGGACTTTAGGAAGCACCTGGAAAGCTGCCTATTGAAGGTAGAAAAATTGGAGAAGTAATCTGAGGTGCAGAGTGGCAAGTTGGGGAGGGAATGCAGATTAGCCCTTGGAACTTGGATAACCGTTTATCTTTTCAAATCCCAGCAATTTAGAGCTGGAAGGGACCTTATTCCTGACCAGGTTCACTCTTCTCATTTTACAGACAAGGAAATTGAAGTTCAGGTAAGGTTGTAATGTCCTTTATTGTCACCTAAATTGGGGACTGGAAGAACTTGTGTCTCTTTGCCTTGAGCGTCGACCTATGTATTTCTACTATAGGATGTGTCCATAACATTATGGATTTTCCTAGGTCGTATCCCTTTTATTATTGAATATTACTAATTGCCCTTAAAGACTCCTTAAATTAAGCTTAATTTTTTTTTTGTTTGAAACATCCATCATTTGTTCCTGGTTCTCTTCACTGAAACTGCTAGAATAAGACTTTCCCTGTATTCTAATAAAGCCTAATATGTTTTCAATCTCCATTTGGTCACCCATGGTATTAAATTTCTGCCATCTTCAAATTTGACATATCCTCATTTAAATCATCATAGGACAGGGCAGGCTCCTCAGGTGAGGAGATATGAATGAGAAAGAATTTCACAGACTCTAAAGGGTATGGTGTTAGTTTCATAATTGTGATCCTAGATGTATGCATTCTACAAAGATTCTTATTGCTGTTTCTACTTCAGACTTCCTTAGAGAATGCTGCCTTTATTTATCCAGCAAATAGAATAGTAACTATCCTCTAATGTTTACTATCTGTGCAAATGGAGGAATATGGTAATTTTTTAGAATAAATGTAACTTTTCTAATACTTTTTTTCCTTAAAAACATTTTTTCTTTTTTTTAATTTTTTCTTTTTATTTATTTCTTTTTATTTTTGTTACAGATGTTTCTCCTTTTTTACCCCATTGACACCTTCCTCCCCATCCCCCCTACCCCGTCTACTATAGGATTTGTTGTCCATGTCTATTGGTTATGCATACATGCATATAAGTTCTGTCGTTTATCTCTTCCCACCCCCCACCACTCCCTCTTCTGAGGGTTGTCAGTCTGTACCCTACTTCCGTGTTTCTGGGTCTACCCTATTCCTCAGACTGTTATATTCATTATATTCCATATATAAGTGAGATCATGTGGTATATGTCTTTTTCTGCTTGGCTTGTTTCACTTAGGATAATACTTTGCAGGTCCCTCCATGTTGTCTCAAAGGATAAGAGATCTTTCTTTCTTACAGCTGCATAGTACTCCATTGTGTATATGTACTACCGCTTTTTTATCCATTTGTCTACTGATGGACACTTGGGCTGTTTCCAGATCTTAGCTATTGTAAATAGTGCTGCTATAAACATGGGGGTACATATATTCTTTCTGATTGGTGTTTCAGGCTTCTTAGGGTATATTCCTAGAAGCGGAATCACTGGGTCAAATGGAAGTTCAATTTTTAGTTTTTTGAGGTAACACCATATTGTTTTCCATAGTGGCTGCACCAGTCTGCATTCTCACCAGCAGTGCACTAGAGTCCCCTGTTCTCCATACCCTTGCCAACACTTGTTTGATGATTTGTTGATGGCAGCCATTCTGATAGGTGTGAGGTGATACCTCATTGTTGTTTTAATTTGCATCTCTCTGATGATTAGTGATGTTGAGCATTTCTTCATATGTCTCTTGGCCATTTGTATGTCCTGTTTGGAGAGGTGTCTATTCAGCTCTTCTGCCCATTTTTTAATTGTTTTTTTTTGTCTTCCTTTTGTTGAGTTGTATGAGTACTGTATATATTAACCCCTTATCTGATGTATCATTGGCAATGATGTTCTCCCACACAGTGGGTTGCCTTTCTATTTTGATGGTTGTTTCTTTTGCTGAAAACATTTTTTTCTCTATTGATTTTAGAGAGAGAGGAAGGGAGAAGGACAGAGAGAAATATCAATGAGAAAGAATATCAATGGCTTCCTCCTGCATGCCCCCCACTGGGAATTTGGCCCACAACCTGGGCATGTGCCCTGACCAGGAATCGAACCAGAGACCTCGTGGTGCATGGGTCAGTGTTCAATCACTGAGCCATACTGGCTGGGCTAAGGTTTTGTTTTGACAAAGTAAATTTAAATACATTGAATATATGTATATGTTTGGGTGAAATAGAAATGTGAAATTTCCATATCAGTTAATCAGCAGTTTGACTTAGTTTAATAGTTCAATATTTTAATAATTTAGTTATGTTTGCACTAAAAATGGTAGCAAACACAATACTTACTGTGTGCCAGACACATTTTGAGACCTTTATGTATAATAAGTAATTTAATATTCATACTAACCCTATGAGGAAAGTATTGTGTTTTCCATTATACCAGAGTGGAAGCCAGAGCACAGAAAGTTCAGTAACTTGTTCAAGGTCCCCAGCTAAGTAGCAGAATCAAAATTAGAAACCAAGGAGTAAGTTTCTGGATTTGAACCTAAGCAGCACTGGCTCCAGAACCTTGCTCTTAACTACTATATTTCTTCTCTAGATATTAAGAATTATTAAAAGTTTTCCTGTTTTAGGATTTTATTTTTATTTACCAAGGTCCAAAATTGGCTCTCTTATTTTTAGGAACTTCATGTGTATGTCTACCAGGATTTCAGATGATCTCTAATAATGGAGGAGCTGATATTATTTGTAAAAAGTGCCCGGAAGACAGGGTATGGAGTATTTATCTTTAAAAAATCTTATTATAAAAAGTAGTAAATTAAATGTATTTTTAATCTACCATTTAATATTGCACACTGTTATTTTCCCACAACCTTTAACATTATAAAGCTAACTTTTTTTTACTAGAGTGAATTTTGGGAGATTGGTGAAATTTTATGCAAACTTGGAATAAACAGGAATTTATTGCTTCACTTTGTGAAATCTAAAAATAAAAAAAAAAAACAAAGCTGTGAAAATTTTTTACTTTTCCTCATAGAGTAACTTAGTTTTAAAGAGAAATAGATGAATGATATATTTATAGAGCAATTTGGAATATGCATATCCTTTGGTACAAATTGAGTTCAGTGTCTTTTTTTTTTTTGTATATACCCCTCGCGGGAACCGAACCCAGAACTCTCTGGTCTGCAGGCCGATGCTCCAACCGCTGACCGGCCAGGGCGAGTTCAGTGTCTTAGACTTACCTATATGTTAATGTTTTATATAATAATTTATGTTCATAATTTTAAATTGTTAAGTTTATCAAATGCCAATTGCATTACTAAATAGGTTAAATAATATCTGTTGCTTTCTCTTAGTCATTTCATTATATCATAACTTTTGGAAAAACAGGAAGTTAATAGTTATTATATATGATGATTCTTAATTAACAGAAATACATTTGCAATCATTTTGGATAATTAGGAATCTCTGTGTGCCAGTTCTGACTTAAATAGTAATATTTCTTCTTATTATGTGTATTAAAGAAACACTGAATTTGGGAATTTAATATAAACTTACCAGTTGTCCTAATTTATGGCTAGTACCTATAGATTTGATGATCATTTTGATACTAACTTTATATTTATGGAAATATTGACCCTATGATATATAGCTACAATTATGAAATGATGCCAAAGGAGATTTGTTTTTCAGTGACATTAATAAAAAAGTCATAATTTTTCAATAGTCTTATATAAATGTGCTGCCAAATATAAGAGTATTTATTGATATATCCAGTTTTTCAACAAATATTTAAAATAATTTGTGGCATTGTATTTTTGTTTTGTTTTTTTGTTAATTCTCACCAGAGGATTATTTAAAAAAAATTTTCCCCCTTTTATTGATTTCAGAGAGAGAGAAAGTGAGAGGGAGAGAGAGAGAGAAACATTGACGAGAGAGAACATCTATTGGCCGCCTCCCGCATGTCCTCTACTGGGGATTGGGCCCACACCCTGGGCATGTGTCCTAACTGGGAATTGAACCGGCGACCTCTTGGTGCATGGGTCGACCCTCAACCAGTGAGCCACATCGGCAGGACACCAGAGGATATTTTTCCATTGATTTTTAGATAGAGGGGGAGGGAGTGAGGGAGAGAGAAAGAAATATTGATGTGAGAAATACACGTTGATTGGTTACCTCCCACATGATCCTGACCAAGGCTGGGGATTGAACCTGCAACCCAGGTACATGCCCTTGACCAGGAATCGAACCCAGGACCCTTCAGTCCGAGGGCCGACACTAATTGCTGAGCCAAACTGGCCAGGGCAGCATTTTTTTATTGCCATTGTTCTCTTAATTTTAGCTACATTCATGTTTGTAATATGATTACTGTATTTTTGTGTCAGATTTTTTCTAAATCATATAAAGCCCAATTTTGAATGTTGTCATATTTTATCAAAAACCTTTACCTAGCACAAACTATTAATGGATAGAAGGATATAGCCTCATAATTTAATTTTAACAACTTCGTTTACCTATCAGTTATATATCACATTTGCCTATTTTGAATCATAACTTAATTTTAAAAAGCTAATGTATTTGGATTCTTAAAAATTAGAATAATTATTTTAAGACAAATAAGACTAAATTATTAATTGGCTATCTATTTATTAAATTCAGTTGAATTTTGTTGTTTTATCTTTGTAAATGGAAAAACTGAATAACTATTAATTATGGGGGAAAAAAAGGACTCATTTGAACTGAAAATCATGAAGAAGGAAGAACTACTGCCCAGAGTTAAAAGTAGTCAATACATAGTTGTAAATGTATATCTTAATTTTGGAATATAGGCACAAATTGGCTACACAGGAAATTTTTATGTTGCCCATATGTGTATTATGTATGTGAATAAAAACCTCAAATTATACACTGTTGTGGGTTTTTGGACTTAACATTATTAATTAAGGAGAAAAAATTGATTAAGAAGATGATTTTTTTTTTTTTTTTTTTTTTTAATTTAGAAAGGTGTTACCAAAGATGGCTGGAACTGCACTTCTTGCCCTGGTAGTTTAACTGCAGAAGGAAAATGCCACTGTCCCACTGGCCATATTTTAGGTAAGAAGTAGATTTCTAATGAAATATTAACTTATCTTCATTTGTGTTTGTTTTTGATAAGGACATTAATTGAAATAGTATGGTGATTTCTTAATTTTTTTTTTTATTATTGTTCAAAATATAATGATGTTTGAGATATCAGAAGGCATAAAGAAGAAGATAAAGAGCCTTACCTGATTTAAAAAAATTCTTCTTAATAATGTAGGATTAGTTGGATACTTCCTTAATATAATAGATAAAATACATGTTTCAACTCAAAAGCCAACATGATGCTTAGTAAGGAAAAATTATAATTATTCCTCTTAATGTCAGGACCCAGATAAGGATGTAAATAATGTACTTAGGTTAGTTAAAGAAATAGGTCATAGAGTAATTAAAAAGGAGAAGGTAAAAATCATTACTTTTCAACGATTTAATTGTATAGTTAGAAAATCCAAGGGAATCACTAAAAATCATTATAAACAGTAGACGTTCCTGGCTACAAAATTGATATCCTAAAATTAGTAGTTTCTTATCCAAATAGTAATCCTTTAGAAACTGTGAAGGAAGGAAAGATCTCATCTACAGTAGCAACAAAAAAAAATTGAAAATCTAGGCATAAATGTATGAGATAAATTAATTGAAAAAAATCTCAGGGTGCTACTGAGACACACAGAAGTAGGCTTTAATAAATGAAACATACACCTCATTCTTGGATGCAAAGATTAGATATAAAGATATCAGCTCTCCTAATACCAGTCTATTTATTTATTTCCTTTATTGATTTTAGAGAGAAAGGAAGGGAGAGGGAGAGAGACATAGAAACACATTGATGAGAGAGAACATCGATTGGCCACCTTCTGCATACTCCCTACTGGGGATTTGGCCCACAATCTGGGTACGTGCCCTGAAAGGGAATTGAACTGGCGAGCTCTTGGTGCATGGGTTGATGCTCAACCACTGAGCCACACCTGCTGGGCTGGATTTTGTCTTTTTTAGGGACTTCAAAAATTAAGTCTAAGTTTATCTAGAAAAATAAGTGAAAACCAAGAAAATTATGAAAAAGAAAAAAGGAGACAACTCCATCAGCTATGCATATTTTATAGCTGCTATAATAACATGTATTGCTGACATATGAGTAACAGACTGGTTGATGGAACTTAAAAGTAGAGAATCAAAATAGATCCAGTTCATATGGTAATATTGTATGAGATAAAATTGGCATTTCATATCAGTGGAGAAAAGACTGATTAATAAATGGTATTTGGGAAAACATTAAGTTGGGTTTCTACCTTTTTTTTTGGTACGTGTCCCTGGTGGGAACCAAACCTGGGACTCTCTGGTCCGCAAGCCGATGCTCCAACCACTGAGCCAAACCGGCCAGGGCGAGTTTCTACCTTTATTCCTTAAAAATTAATTTGAGGTCAGCCTGGCTGGTATGGCTCAGTGGTTGAGCATTGACCCATGCACCAAGAGGTCACTGGTTCGATTCCTGGTCAGGGCACATGCCCAGGTTGTGAGCCCAATCCCCAGTTGGGGGCATGCAGAAGGTGGCCAGTCGATGTTCTCTTTTATTAATGTTTTGTCTCTCTCTCCCTCTCCCTTCTTCTCTCTAAAATCAGTAAAGAAAAAAATTTTTTTAATTAACAAAAATTACTTTGAGGTCCATCAAATATTTAAATATGAATCTATGAAAGTGTGTAAAAAAAATAGGAAACATTTTATGTTGTAGTCTGTAATAGACCTTTTAAGTATGAGAAAAAATTCAAGCTATAGAAGAAAAATTGGTAAATTTGACTACATAAAAATAAAATACCACGTCAAAAAAATCATAAACAATACCAGAAAAAAACTGCAAGCTAGAAAGAAATTTATAATGCATGCAGTGGACAAAGGGCTGAATTCTGAAATATATGTAAAACTTCTACAAATAAGAGCATGGTGAACAACTGAAATTTTTTTTTTTTTTTATCCTCACCTGAGGACATTTTTGCATTTATCTTCAGATAGAGCGGGAGGGAGCGAGGGAGGAAGACAGAGAGAGAAACATCAATGTGAGAGAGATACATCAAGTGGCTGCCACCCACACGACCCCAACCGAGGCCAGGGACAAACTGCAACCCAGGTACGTGCCCTTAGCGGGAACTGAACCCAGGACTGTCTGGTCCGCGGTCTGACGCTCTAACCGCTGAGCCAAACTGGCCAGGGCAACAAATGAAACTTTAAAATAGCCGAAAATCAAGAATAAAGTTTACAGAGAAAAAAATGTTTAAACATGAAAAAATTGCTCAACCTTACTCAGAGTAAGAATTAAAATTATGGGGGACTGAATGAAAAAGGTGAAGGGATAGAGAGGTACAGATTGGTAGTTACAAAATAGTCATGGAGATGTGAAGTACAGCATAGAAAATGCAGTCGTTAATATTGTAATAACTATGTGCCAGTTGGGTACTGAAAATATCAGGGGGAACTCTTTGTAAAGTATGTGATTGTTTAACCACTATGCTGTATACCAGAAAGTAATACAAAATAATATTGAATGTAAACTGTAATTGAAAAAAATTTTTTTAAACTTTTACAGCAATATAAGGATTAGAAGAATTAAAATCAGCATTCTTGCCTATTCAAAAAAATTCAAATCTTATTTTAAGATAAATTTTATTCTTAACCTATCAGATTTTATTGTTAAACTTTTTCAACTTTGACAGCATGTTTGCAAGGATACAGGAAAACTGATATATTATTGAGGAAGTATAAATGGTTGCAACCTCTATGGAGAGCAACTTGACAGTATTTATCAAATGTAGATCATTCCCAAGCAAACCTTTTTCTTTTTCTTTTTTTTTTTTACTTTATTAATTTATTTTTGTTACACATGTTTCTCCTTTTTCCCTCACTTACCCCCTCCTTCCAGTCCAGCCCTCGTCCCCAGCATTGTTGTCTATGTCCGTGGTTATGCATATATGCATTTAAGTTCTATGGTTTATATCTTCCCTCTTCTCTCCCCCAACCCCCTTTCTGAGGTTTGTCAGTCTTTATCCTACTACTATGTCTCTGAGTCTATTTGTTCATCAGTTTGTCTTGTTTATTATATACCACAGAAACATTGGTGTTATATATCACAAGAGATCATGTGATATTTGTCTTTCTCTGATTGGCTTGTTTCGCTTAGGATAATACTCTCCAGGTCCCTCCATGTTGTCTCAAAGGATAAGAGATCTTTCTTACAGCTGCATAGTATTCCATTGTGTATATGTAGCACAGCTTTTTTATCCACTCATCTGTTGATGGACACTTGGGCTGTTTCCAGATCTTAGTGATTGTAAATAGTGCTGCTATGAATGTAGGGGTACATATATTCTTTCTGATTGGTGTTTCAGGCTTCTTAGGATATATTCTTAGAAGTGGGATCACTGGGTCAAATGGCAGTTCAATTTTTAACTTTTTTTTTTTTCCCTCACCTGAGGACATTTCCCCATTTTTTGTTCAGATAGAGTGGGAGGGAGAGAGAGAACCATCGACGTGAAAGGGACACATCGAGTGGCTGCCACCCGCACGACCCAACCAGGGCTGGGGACAAACTGCTACCGAGGTACATGCCCTTAGCGGGAACTGAACCCTGGTCTCTCTGGACCGCAAGCCAATGCTCCAACCACTGAGCCAAACCGGCCAGGGCTTAATTTTTAACTTTTTGAGGTAACACCACATTGTCTTCCATAGTGGCTGCACCAGTCTGCATTCCCACCAGCAATGTACTCGAGTCCCCTTTTCTCCACACCCTCCCTCGTCTGCACTTGTTGTTCGATAATTTGTTGATGGCAACCATTCTGACAGGTGTGAGGTGATACCTCATTGTTGTTTTAATTTGCATCTCTCTGATGATTAATGTCATTGAGCACTTTTTCATATGTCTCTTAGCCATTTGTATGTCCTATTTGGAGAGGTCTCTCTTTAGGTCCTCTGCTCATTTTTTAATTGGGTTCTTTGTCTTCCTTTTGTTCAGTTGTATGAGCACTCTATATATTTTGGAAATTAACCCCTTATCTGATGTATTGTTGGCAGTTATGCTCTCCATATAGTGGGTTCCCTTTCCATTTTGATGGTTGTTTCCAAGCAAGCTTTTTTTTTAGGAATTTTTTTTCCAGTACAGATAAATATATGTCTGCAGAAGTATATGCATGGTATTTTTGTTGTTGCTTTGTTTTTATATATTGATATTTGTTTTTGAGAGAGCAGAAGGGAGAGAGAGATGGAAACATTGATGTGAGAGAGAACCATCAATCGGCTGTGTCCTGCATGCCCCATCCTGTGGATCGAGCCCAAAACCTGGGCATGTACTCTGGCCAGGAATCGAACTGGGACCTCTCAGTTTATGGGTCGATGCTCAATCCACTGAGCCACACTGGTCAGATTGCACCATTATTCCTAAGAGAAAGGATTGTAAATAATGCAAAAGTGTGCAAAGAGGTTATTAATCAAATAAACTATGGTACATCCAGACAATGGTGTAGGATGTAGCTTTAGAAAAATATAGCAGTTTTGTAAGCATTGCTTTGGAAAGAAATCTAAGATACATTAGGTAAGAAAGCAAAATATAGAAAAGTTTACTCTTTCATCTACAAATATTTACTAATTACCTGCCATTTATTTGTACTATTTTAATGTATTTGGTATGTTACCATTTATGTTTTTATTTATAAAACATTTTTTATTCTTTATTCATTTTATGTGTTTTTTTGTGTGTGTGTTTTTTTTTGTTTTTTTGTTTTTGCATTTATCTTCAGATAGAGTGGGAGGGAGAGAGGGAGGAAGAGAGAGAGAGAAACACTGATGCGAGAGAGACACATCGACTGGTTGCTACCCTACCCACACAACCCCAACTGGGGCCACGGAAAAACTACAACCAAGGTACGCGCTGCGCCCTTAGCGGGAACTGAACCTGGGACTCTCTGGTTCGCGGGCCGACACTCTAACCGCTGAGCCAAACCAGCCAGGGCTTTTGTTTATTCATTTTAGAGGGA